AAAAACCCATGCATTTAGCTGTTTGATTCTCCAACTTGTCAAGACTTTGGAAAATGACTTGTCTTTAAAGGGTTGAACACCTTTAGCAGCATGGTTCAACTTTGCTTAGTATTTTTACAAATTATTAACTCAAGACATTTGAATTTGAAGACAGAACTGAAATGTCCTGAGGCACTGGAGCAGATTAAGTTATTTTAACAAAGCGCGCGCGCGCGCACACACACACACACACACACACACACACATTATCTGAAAAAAAAAGTAAGAATGTTTTCACTCTTTCAGCTAACTCTGGGTTTTATTTACTAAAATTTCGGGGGAAAGGTATTTTATGTTTATGATCTTAGCAGTAACAACGCTGTAAGTCAAACTCAGTGATATGTGTTAAGCATTTGTCTATGGTTCTTTTACCCTCAGGGATGTCTGAGCTGAGACTAATTTCCTCAAAGGGAGAAACAATTCCAGGTTTAAGTTGAGATTTAACTACTGGGATTAAGAAATGTCGCTCAGATTTAAGCAGCAGCAGGCATAACACCAACATAGAATCGTCTTGTTCAGGGTCTCCTGATTAGTAAAACATGGGACTCGATTCAAAACCAAGTTCATCTCAATTCAAAACCTATGTTTTCCCCACCACATTCTACGTTGTTATGTGAATTCAACTTTGTTTGGATTTACAAAGAAGCCCTAATTCTAAAATACCTATATGAAGGGAGGTGGGGTACCTAGATGGTTTAACATACCAAAAAGACATTCAGTTTTCCTGCGGGGGGTTTAATGGAAAAAGAAGAGTTATGTATAGATGTGGGAAAGTAAATGCCCATCTTTCCTTGGCTTTTTCTCGGGCCCTTCCCTGTCTTGGATGATAGAGCTGGTCCCATGACTATGGTGAAGATCTCTGGATGCTCCCCTGGTTGTTAAGTGCTTCTCGTGTTTCAGGAGCCAGTAAGAACTTAAATAAACAGCTTAATGGCCGATAGCCCCATAAAGTCTACTCATCCCTAGTGGGTGATAAAGTATCCTTTGTATCGATGTGCAGCTTTATTAAACTTTCCACTCCACCCTGCTCTATTTTGAAGCAGCATTTCTTCAAATAGGATAATCGGCCCATTTTTCTACTCAACCCCATCTAGTCCTTCTGCTTCCTACGCAATGACTCAAAGGGCAACCTCTACAGAAGTGGTCACTTTGTCTTTGTCCACTGTTGCTTCTGATGAAGCGGCCGAGGACGTGAGGCTCGGGGCTTCGTGGTGAGGGATGGGCGTTGGCAGAGAGGCCGCCCGGCTGACGACTGCCCGCTGCCTACCGGGGGGCATCTGGTTAAACGGAGCTCATTGGCTCGGCCCTAAGGAGGTGCGAGGGTGGGCCACACTCTGAGCGGGGGAGATGAGGAGATGGACTTGAGATGGCAAGGGGTGCCCGTGTCGGTGGGACTCAACAGAAATACAAAGGGTCTTTTTATTTGTATTTTTGCCAACCCCCGAGGGGTTGGGAAGTTTGCAAGTCCTCAGGACTCGGAGTATCTGAGTGGTGCCACTAGTATGACTGAGTCCCGATGATGGGAGACTGACCAGTCATGTCGTCATCTGTCCATGTGAGAATATGTCCTTGCCGAACAAACCAATATTACTGAAGCAAAGAAACTGTCAATTTTCTTAAAGATCCGGACTCAACCTTTTCTTCTCCTCATTCCATACACTGTTTTTTATACAATGCTCAACAGTGTCAGGAACCCAAATGGGTCATGTCCTCATATCTCATTACCTTATACTTGCCTTTCCCTCCGCGAGCGAGGCAGCCACCCTGTCTCCCACCCCATCGGTTTTACTTCTACTCATTCCCAGCATTAGGTCAGAACTGAGGATCGAGGCTACAAGCCTGGGCTTATGCCCTGACTGGGAGTTGGTCACAGTTTTTAAGTTGTTTCTTTATCAGTTCATCAAAACTGCTTCAGAGGCTCTGTTCATCTGCTCACAGAGCTTTCTGTAATCCTCTGACACCCATTACTGTATTGTAGTTGCTTGAATAATTGTCTATATCTGGCACCAGACTGCAAACTCTTTGAAATCAGAGACTATATCTTATTTACACAGTAATCACATCTCCTGCTGTAACACTTGGCATTAGCATGTAATCAATATATAGTAAATGAATGAGTGAGCAATCAGGTTCCTGAGACAGTAGAGTTAAAAACAACAGGAACCACATTATATATAATAAACATTTGCTTTGCTGCAGAAGGTAATGTAACTCAGGTATTCTGTCCTCAAGTCTTAGGTTGCTTGGGGGAAGAGTAAGGAAAAACATGGTTGCTCGTAAGCCAGATAACCTCTTTGGAAAGCACTGAGACAGGGCGTTTCCACCCGTGTGGAAAATCTCACTGTTCTATCGAGCCTCCTGGGAAAGAGGCTGAATCAAGCGAAATTCCTTAGAAGTGTGTACTTCCCCAGAAGTGGATAAACTTTTACTAATGGAAGGTCTTAGAGTTCCTTATCCAAGGAAACCCAGGCCAATCTTTGAGGACTCAAGAAAGATAGAGTAAGAAACTTCATTGAATCATAAAAAGATGGCCCGAATGTCCTAGTGTCCTGAAGTAAAGTACTTTCAACTCCCTTTGTGAATGTGCTTTTAGATCAGGGCTAAAACTAGTAACTTTTTTTTTTTTTTTTTTTAAATATATCTTTATTGATTTCAGAGAGAGGAAGGGAGAGGGAGAGAGAGAGAGAAACATCAATGATGAGACAGCCATTGACCAGCTGCCTCCTGCACGCCCCCTGCTGGGGATCAAGGAATCCACAACCCGGGCATGTGCCCTGACCAGGAATGGGACCTTGATCTCCTGGATCCTAGGTCAATGCTCAACTGCTGAGCCACACTAGCCAGGCAAAACTAGTAACTTTTGGAACCATCAGGTCTATCACTACTTAGATACATGAACTTGGAGACACTGCTGAGATTTCTCATCTGTAAAATGAGGACATTATTATTTGTCTGATTGCTGTGAGAATTAATTTACACACACATGCACACACACACACACAGTGTCCCTAATATCAAGAAATTTAAAATGATATTTAAGAAGCTAGCTGGGCCCTGGCCAGTGTGGCTCAGCTGGTTGGGCATGATCCCATGCACAGAAAGGTTGCTGGTTCTATTCCAGGTCGGGGCACATACCGGGGCTTGTGGACTTGACCTGAGTAGGGGGAGTGAAAAAGGCAGCCAATCGATGTTTCACTCTCATATCAGTGTTTCTCTCTATCCCTCTCCCTTCCTCTCTCTCTAAAAAGCAATTTAAAAAATCTTTAAAAAAAGAAGCTAACTGAGATCATTACACAAATCTCTCAGCAAAGGAAGTTTTCTTCCCAAACCACAATCTTTTTTTTTTTATTTATTAAAGAATTTATTTAACTTAAATCCTATGTGAATATTTAAACTAGTTTTTTCTTAAGTGTTCTGAAATTCTATAGATTTTAAAACTCTCCATACAACAGGTTTTCAATTTGAAAGGGCAACTTGAATTCTAAGACAATCAGATTTTGATCTGGAGCTTTAATTATAGCAAGCCATAACTTGAACTGGTGTCATTTTTATTTTATTATGTTATTACATTACATGCTGTAATCTGGCTGAACTTGATATTTCAGAAACCAACCTTTTTTTCAAGAATGCCTCTAAGGCAAATGAGATTCTTAGAAAATTGTCAGTTGAATATCTACTATGTAGAAGTCAATAAATCTGACAAAAATGAGAAACATAAACTATAGCTCTTGGGCAGATGATAATTTACCAATTTAAAAGTTAAGCTGAAAGTTTACATATACCTACTTTATGAGTTAGGTGGGTATTATTTAACCCATTGTATAGATATTTAAACTAGAACTCAGAAAGTTTAAAATCCACACAAAAATTAGGTAGCTGAACTAGAGTTTGAACCCACGTGTTCTTTCCATGAGAGCACGTGTTGTTGACCTTTCCATTAAGGTAATTCATTCCACCTCAACTAAGCAGCACCAGTGAACCGCTTCCTGGAACATATGTGTATCTTCACTTTACCACTTGAGTGTCCTGTCTAGAATGTGTTCTTCCCCTTTATCTATTCAAGTCCTCTAGCCTTCAACACCCTGCTCAAATCCGACTGCTTATGGAAGATTCTGCCCTTATGTCCCTGCTGGAATTAACATCTTCATGCCTCCTGTCTGGTCTTTAATATCGTCAGGTCCTTATGGTGCTTTCTTCTGAAGATCAAACTCTTTAAGAACAAGTACTTCATCTTATCCATGTCTAGATCCCCACATTTCTGAGGACTTACCTGACAAATATTTGTGGAACAGAATGAAAGGTGTGCCCTTTCATTCTGTTATGCATACCTTTGAAAACCGAATCTTTTGAGAAGTTGTACTATGTTCCTTGAGAGCAATAATAGTTCCTGGAAACCTTCCAAAATGCTTAGAAATGAACTTCTCATAAAATGTGTCCCCAATAAAGGTGGTCAACTAGATTATCTCCTCTCTCATTTCAGTACATATAATTTACCTAAAGAAACCACTGTGCCATAAAAGAATGATCCTAAATGACTTACTGTAATAGCTGCCAGATGGTACTGTGATAAAGTTATTTATAAACAAAAAGGAGTACAACTGATAATGTATCAAGCGGAGAAGCTTCTCTGTTTGAAAATGCTTTTAAACATGTTTGAAAAGAAACATGTTTTCAAATAAAATTAAATTGTTTTAAAGATCCAATAAAACTTCAATCATGCTGAAAATTGGATAAGAAACCAATTGGAGAAGTGCGATGACTCAGGTTTGTTCACAGAGAGTGGCCGGAAAGTTGCAGATTGTGGAATTTCCTCTGACCTAATACAAGAATGAGCGTGCACATGTTCTCCGCTGCTGCGATAATATAAAAAGCCACGGGAGCTCTTCATCCAGCACAAGTCCCTGAGGACAACAGAGCTCACAGCACTAGAAGAGCCAATAAGGACCCGACCTCCTATAAACATGACTTCCAGGCTGGCTGTTGCTCTGCTGGCAGCCTGCGTGCTTTCTGCAGCCATGTGCGAAGGTAAGCACATCTTTCTGACCCAGTTTTCCTGGGTCTAAATATGATCCTTAGGTAGCAGGGTTATCCTTAATGCTTTGATTAAAAAAACAAAAACATTTTTATTGAGGAAAAGAAAATAATCTTTGCAGTCATTTAATGTCAATTAATTAAATTGAAGTTTTATTTTTTTAGGTTGTATCTATGCAACAATTAGAAAAGGGTAACATTTGATGAATATAGACATTCTGTTCTTGTCAATTATACTCTGTAGTATGCATTTATTTAATATAAATCTATAATTTAGAGTGTACCTTATTGGAAGCCAGACTTACCCATAATATCTAGAAATATTGAGCAAGAAAGCTCAGGTAATTTTCCTTCATGTGCTATTTTATTGACAAGCTTCAGACAGCTGTCATTTCCTGTTTGGTTTAAGGGCACCCTGATGGATTATCCACCTTCTTGGGATCCTTTTTATTACAGTTTAGAATGTTTGTAGTATATAGTTTCTTTTTCTGTTTCCTCTTAAGCATTATGGATTTTGTTAAGATATAAGACACCTTTGTGCAACTCACTTATATATTTCTATCAAATTCTTTGAAGGCAATTTCCCTATTTTTGAATCTTAGTTTGCATACTATAAATAGCAATATGAAGTAGAAAAAAGCATCATAAGGATGTCAACATTGCACGAAGACAACTCCAAGTCTTTATGGAGAGTCATTCAGTGTTGTCAGGAAGGAAGGTTTTTAAAATAAAAAACTGAGGTCAGGGTCAAGAAGAATATCCAGCCTTCAACTTCAGGAATGAGTTAGCTGAAGATGGGATGTTTACTAAACACACAGCCAGCAGGTTGTCCTAATGGGATTAAGGAGCGAGTAGCTGGCACCGCGTTTGTTGATGAAATCGATCCTTAATTGTCTTTATTTGTCTTCACAGCTGCAGTTCTGCCGAGACTAACCACCGAGCTCCGGTGCCAGTGCATTAACACGCACTCCGCCCCTTTCCACCCCAAGTTTATCAGAGAACTGACGGTGATCGAGAGTGGGCCGCACTGTGCAAATTCAGAAATCATGTAAGTCCTTTCAAAGGGATTCGGTATTTCACTTTAGCAAGCTTAGAGCTGAGGAAGGTGGAGCAGCCAGCAGAGTTGTAGGTACTAGGAATACAGTATTCTGTCTGCGTGGCATTTAAATATGGCAACTTCCATGATTCACAGCTCTGTTGTTTTTGACTTAGAGTTTATGCCCATACTTAAGGGACAATGAGTGAATGGTAAAGGGATGTCTGAAACCACTAAATATTGATTTTAATCATCTCTCTCTCATTTCAGTGTAAAGCTCACCAGTGGAAAAAAGGTCTGCCTGGACCCCAAGGAAAAGTGGGTGCAGAAGGTTGTGCAGATATTTTTGAAGAGGTAAGTTGGTTTTTAAAAAAAATTTAGATTCTTCATTTATCCTGAAGTATACAGTCCAAAAGTCAGCCTGTAATTTCCTGCTGCTGATGCAAATCTTTTTTAGATAACTTCCTCTTTAAATAAAAATAAATAGCAGCAATAGTGAGTTTATTGTACTCATGACTGCGAAGACCACAAAGCTCAGTTTGCCCGGGGAGGTCTGGGTTTATGTCTGTTCCCTGCCATTGCTGTGGCTCCCTTTCAGTCTCTGGTGTTCTGATTTGGATGATAACTTATCTGGTCTCTCTATTTATAGTTGAAAGTATAAAAATATTTCGAACACACGGCTATCTAAGACTATATTCGTTTCTGTATTAAATATAAGAGCCATACTTTACTCCTTACTAGAACATTGTTAATTTTTAAATTTTATTTTATTTATTTTCAGAGCTGAGAAGAAAGATCCATGAAATAAAAAGAAAAAGCACTCTCCATGGTTCCTAAGAATTCCTCAGTAAAGATGCCAATGAAACTTCAAACGAATCTACGTCAGTGCATCATGTACTTTGTGGGGCTGTGTAGGGTTGTCAAGTAAAATACAGGATGCCAGGTTAGACTTGAATATCCAGTGAAACAATGAACAGCTTTTTTCAATGTCCTGTGCTATATCTAGGACACACTTATATTTTAAAAAACTCATTGTTTACTATAAATTCAAATTTAGCTAGAAATCCTGTATTCTACTTTTTTCCCTTTTTAGTTAATGTGGCAACCCTAGTCTGCCAGCCAAGATCCACGAGGCCCTCCTACCTGTGCCTCAGTTTCTTCTTTATTCCTAACCTGGAGAAAAAGCATCAGCCACTATTTAACCTCACAGAGATGTGAGGACACGCGGAAGCAACTTAATGTTTTTCATGGTTACATAAATTATTTTCAAGTGTAACTTATTCACTTATTTATTATTTATATATTTATTTAAGCTTCAAATAGAGTAATATTTGTGCATGAATTTGGAAAATGGGAAAGAAGCATTGTTGATAGGATAGTATAACGACAGTTGTGAATTTATATTTATTTTAGATATTAAATAATATATTAGAGAACTATCTCGATCAAAGTTGTTTTATTTTGAACGAAGTTGCTAGATTTGGCAAAATTAAAAACAAACAAACAGAATATCCAATTGATTTTTATTTCAGATAAACAATGTTTGTTAGAATAAGTACATAATTATTTATATGAAATGTTAAACTGGCAATCCTACCTTTGATATTCCTCATATTGCCCTGTCACGGTCAGCCTTGGTGGGCTGTTCTGTGTTGAATTACCAGAATCCTGAGTTAGGACTATCTTCCTCAAAACAGCAAAAGTTCTTTCTGGTTAAAACTTATGTATTATGTACAAATAGATTCTCATAATTTTATTTAAATAATTGTGCTTAACATTCCCTTTCTTTTTGACTTTAAAATACTTCTATATGTTTTCTACTCCTTTTGATAGTATGGAAATATAAATGAAACTCTAAAATACTTATAATAAAATTTATTGTCAAGTCATCAAGTGTTTGTGTTTCTCTGGTTCTTTCAAAATTTATTATTTTATATCTTTGGTTGTATTAAAAACATGATTTAGAGAACATAAATGCTTCCCCTTAGCATTTTGTATATTATGGCTGAAATTACAAACCTTTATTTGTAGAAAAACAGAACTCCTTTTTAGAGATGGCTACAAACAGTAGCTATTGGGAAATGAGGAAAGTTTTCTCAACTTCCCAGTGTATACTATTTCGCTAATAAGGCTGACTTCAGATTTTCAATGAACATCTCAGGTGTCAGTGAAAGGGGAAGAGGGTACACATCACAAGGTGCTTCTCAGCTAACTAAGGAGGGAAACTGACACATATGAGGCCAAAAAAGTTCAAAATGTGAATAAAGACCAAACATATTTGAAAAAAAGTCAAAGAAAACTCTTAAAAGTTAAAAAAAAAGTAAATTAAAAATAATTTAACTAGAAAACTCAGTGGATGCTTTTTATAACAGATTAGATACAGCTAAAAAGAAAATTGGAGATCTAGGAAATAAACCCAAGTAACTTTATCTGGAATTTATATGAGGGATAAAGAGGAAAAAAATTGAAAGAAGACATGAAAAGACACGGAGAATACACGGATATGGCCGTCTCAGTGTCTAACTGGATTTTTACAAGCAGAAGAGAGGGTCAGAGACAACGTTTAAGCTGACAATGGCTAAACACTTTTCAAAGGTGACGAAAACAACCACCCACAGTTTCAAGAACTTCAATTAACCAATGTTTAAATTTACATTGCTAGTCCAAAAACAAGGATCGCAGAGCTTCGGCTCCCACTTGCCCCTCCGAGACGATGCAGTGCTGCAGCGGGGCGCCCGGACGTGCTCTTCTTCAAGGCTGCACCCTGCCCAGCGAGGGAGGGGCCCTCCCTTATTCCCCCCAGCTACGCCCTCCCGCGGCCCCTCTCCGGGGCCACCAGCTCCTCCCAGTCGCTCTGGGCACCCGCGGCCACCTTTCTCTCCGCGGGTCAACATCAGCTGCAGTGTGGACAAAGCCTCTGCTCTTTTCTGACAGCCGGTGCACAGGAACACAAAAGCGCGCAACGTGACAGAATTAGGAAAGCGTTTTGGAAATTCAACCCCAATCTTTACTGTTCTTAGAGACATCGTTCCCACTGTTGGCCTTTTCTCCCTGCCTCTGCTCTTCTCAGGCCACACAGTGGGGCCGCTGCTTCTCCCTCGGGCTTCTGCCTAAATTTCATTTCCACATTCTCCGCTTTAATTTCAGGTTTCCTCGCCTGCCCCCCGTTGCAGTCTCTCATCGTGTGGATCTCATACAAAGTGAACAAAACAACGACCAGCAAATCATTTTAATACCCTCCTGGTAGGAGAGATAGGGCTTCTTCAGAGGAGGGAGAGGGGAGTTCCAGCGCAGCCAGCCTAGGCCCCCCTGAGGAAGCCTCAGCTGGAGCCAGGCGGCTGAGCAGGACCGGGCCACACCGAGCGAGGACCAGGCCTGGGAGGGAGTGGTCCAGATGGCAGTGAAGTAATTTGTAAGCAAATTATGATTTGAGAAGTGAAAAAGTTCAGTGTGACTGGAGTTTGGCATTGACACAGAACAAGTACTAACAGATGAAGTTATGCTAAAAGGATGAGGGGAGGCTGTAAGGGAGTTAGATTTGAAATCGAAGACTTCTAGCGGGTTTCAATTACCCTCATTGAAATTTCGAACGTTATAGGCCATTCTTCTTCCTGGATCTCCTTACAGAAGAAAGTGAGAAGCCACAAAAGCAACTCAAAATCTGATGTTGGGGGCTTTCTAATGATATTTGGAGATTCAATTATCAAAGAACTCCCAACTTTATACAAAACCTCTTAATGTGTTAAATACAATTTAATGTGATCAGTGTCCAACCCTGGAAGCAAAGTGAAGACACTTGCACCAACTTGGTGAATCTTAATAATGAAAACTTTAAAAAAAATCTACTTTTTAATTTCATTTTTATCACTTTTAAAATACGCCAAATTATTTTCTCCTCTCTCTCATCTATATTGTTACTGTCTATAAGACAGTAAATATTGCATCAAAAAGGCAATTAAGTGTATCAAGTTGGAGATGAAGCATTATGTATACAAATCAAAATGGAAAAATGAAGAGTGAGAGAGAAATGAGAGCAAGAGCGAGAAAGGAAAAGCCAGTCACTTGAAAAACTAAATATTTCATTGTCCCTCAGTGATATTATTAAAATTAGTTAGTATACAGGCATGGGTTTTATTTATATAGACATAGATTTAGGCACAAACTTAAACATGTGACCTATTGTCTCATACATTTAATCCATTTATGTGGATTACAAATTATAAATGTAATTTTACCAAGTAGTAACATGGATGTAAATGCATACCACACACACGCACACACACGCACACACACACACGCACTAAGAGAGGTATGAAGAGATAATAAAAAGTGTTCACTTTGCAATTGCATCTATTATAAAGTTCTGCAATACATATATTTTATATAAAACATACAAAATCAGGCTATTTTCATAATTGTCTCTTTTTGTTTGCTAGCAATGCATCAAGAAACAGAAGTCACCTAAGAAAAATTTTTTATTCTAAGATTTTGGTAAATGAGGAGATAATTATTTTTTACTGTAATGCATCTATTTTGCTGACCAGGCTGTTTGAAAAGGTCAGAAGAAGAATTAAAAAACTGGTTTGCATTTTGCCTGTGGTAGCGATATAGCAAGTAAAAATTGCTTAAGTCTGTATTAACCCTGCAATAACAGAAAAGCTTAAGAAATCAGTAATTCCTCCATTACTCACTTGACAGCCAGACCGCAAATGCCTCAAGTTTGATAAACATCAGCTAAATTTGCAGAGAGCACGAACAAAAAATAAGGAATCTTTTAATGTAACAGAGTAAATACCAGGCCAATTCCTTCCCACAAGATTTACAGATGGGGCAATCGGGAATGCGTCAACAGATTACTTAAGCATCAAAGAACCCAACTCTTAATGGGTGGACAAAGGGGCCTTTCCATGCTCATTGCATTCCCATAGAAGAAAATCAAGTTAGATAAATATTATTTTCTATCATCTGTCTGTCTATCATCAACCTATCATCAATCTATACCATCATCATCTCTATATAGATCAACTTAAAAAGCCTAGCATGTTGGAAATAAGATAGAAAACATTCACAGATACTTCCACCCAAATTTTGCTTTAGACACATCTAGAGAAATGTTCTAAAGCTTTGTAAAAGATCATGGTGCTAGGGCTGAAGATAAACTTCTACTGTAGCTATCAATTCTATTTCATAAGGCATGACTTAGCTTTTGTTTTTTAATAGTTATAGGTTATTCTTTCTACTGTCTGCATCCTAAGTGAATCTTCTGCCATTCAACCCATGCCTCTCAAAATTTTTAGTGTTCCCCTAAATGGAATGCTTATGGGAAAGTGTTCTATATGTAGATACCTTTGCCTAGATTTATTTTTTCTTTATACTCCCAAAAGTATCCAACATGCCCCTGATAGGATCTCATATGGAGACATATTTTATTAAAGGGACAAAGGTTTCTGCGCAGGTTCTGTAGGTCTTCAGCAGCCTCATCGTGATGTATGTGTTATCCCTCCTCCAACTTTTCACACTTGTTTCTTCCTCTCTAATACATGCCAGACATGTTTTATAAACAGGTCATTCTTAAATTTTCTTAAGTGAAATTTTGTAATTATCAATTTAATTTACAAATATATATATAGATACTTAAAAAATCTCATATTTACAAGATTTTTCTATAAAGCTTGAGTGAGGCCTCTGTGGTAACATGAAAAGAATTGACTTCTGCTTATAATTCCCTTTTCTAGCACTAAATGTCTTCCTGAAGGAATATTTTCACTCTCCCAGTTTACTAAAATTCTGTTTCATTTTCTTT